TGTTTTGAAACTTGCTTTTTACAGTGTTCTGTTGTTCTTAATGCTATGCACTAATTCAATCTCGCTCATCACATCCTGTCAACTAGCCAGTTCCACTGGAATGGACTTCCGAGACCCCGTATCCAACAATGCTCTCCATCAATATGAGCGCACTGGTTTGGCCGGGAAATAGTGTGGTCCAACGCAACCAGATGGTGTGCGTTCAAAAGGATCCCACAGGGATGTGCCAAAAGACCGAGAAATGTCTGGTTCCTGCCGCTCCGATCAGTTTCAAGAAGAAACGACACTTGAAAGTGAGTCTGACTGTAACATCAAAATGGTTTTAAGTGTTTTCGAAGCTTGTATCAATGTCTGTTTAATCGAGTTAAAATAATAATAAGAGTTCGTGGTTTAGACAAGTTGAATCATGTTCGAAGAGGGGTAGTGGTCTTGCTCATCTTATCCCACCACATCCCCGTCCCAAATAGAGCAGTTTCATACGTTCTGTTTAATTCCATCAATTGCGGGTTTGTCATCTTGTTCATGACCAGCTAGCTAGGTCGTGATCATCCGATTTCCTTCTTAAAATCTCACTTGAATTTTCAGGGCATGGTTTGAAGTATAATTTTTGTATTAAATGGTCAGAGTGTGTGCACTACTTATTAATATCACTACGGAAAATCACTGTTTGTTTTTAAAAAAATTTCTCACTGAACGTTATCCCTTTTCGCTTAGGATATGTGCTAAGTACAGGCGGTGATGGCCCGGTGGTAACGTCACCAAATCATCACCCCGGGATTGTATGTTCAAATCCCACCACCACCGTCTGACTTTCCCCATCGTGTTTGTTGAATGGCAGCCCTTTGACTGAACGCTTCCCCATTTCTGAAAATTGTATCTTTGTATGTTCAATAAAAGGAAGTAAAATAAAAAGACGAAAAAATGGAGAATGATTCATTCAGTTCTCTTATTCAACAGACTTAACCTTGATGTTTTGAATTGTAAAAAGTTCACTAGCCTCAGTGGGATTCGAATTTACGCGTGGACGCCGGCTACGCTTTTGTACAGTGTACGCTCTAGCAGCTAACCTTCATAAAATTGATTAGTGTGAGAAGTAAAACACGGATGGCAAGCAGACCGAGTGGATGTGTGAGAACGAAACGACATGAAATGTTTCTCACAAAAGGCCTGGTAATGTGCAGGAAAGCAGTACAGCATAATTGGAGCATACACGGAACTATAAAATAAGATATTATCCACCCGGATTGGATCGGACTACCTCAATCCAAGAATCCTGTAGAACCCAAAATTGACAAAATTGACCAACAATTTGTTCTTTGTTCGTATAGAGTTTTGCTGATGGACACTTCGCTATTGTTTAGTGTCCATTTTGTAATGTGTACTAGAATGAACTGTCTGGGGAGCACCAAAGAAAGGGGTATGTGTATGTGAAAGATACATTGAAATTTTTTTAAAAGGATCAGGAAGACGTGAACAGGGGACGGTATTATGTGAACAGCGTGTCATCCCACATACCGATAAGAAACGATCTGTGAGAGAATCATGTCATCGGCTTACTTGCTAAAGGTAAGGTCACTTCAAAATGGATCAGAAAGGGGGTGTCGGTTTTTGAAGAAGTTCAGATTGTCCGTTACGTTTCCCCTGTCCACCTCGCCCCGTATGGATACGAGGCTGATGACCAACAGCTAACCAAAGAACGCATTAAACACCAGCAGTCTATCGCAACAACAACAACAATGTCGGATTGATACATTTCGTGTTGTTGCATCTATACAGCGAATGGAAGTTTTTAAATAAACATGATTTGCAAAATTCTCTGGATTATTTTTATTAGTAAATTAGTCAGTTCGTGCATTGTACCTTTCTCGTTTACAAAACATTAGCATTCGATTGTATTGGCCGGTCTACCCGCCTCTACCAGTTACACTCTTTAGACTGTCCTAATTAATTACTTGGGTAACTGAACGGAATTTTTCTAACAGGATTCAAAGTGCGAAATCCGTCCTTAAATGAAATAGTCTCCGCGAAAATTTTCATGCGCACTCACTTTGGCCTAGTAAGTTGCTGTTTTCATCGTCATTGTTGTTGTTGTTGTTGTCGTTGTTGAAACATAATTCCACAGTCCTTAAGGTGATACGCGTTTCTAGGGTGGACTGCATTTTCCGATTCGTTGATAATCACTCGCCTTGCGTTCATACTGAGTGCAGTGGGCAGAAGCTTGGGGATTTTTCTCTGGTCAATCGGTCTGCTGCTGCTGTTGTTGCTCTGTTGCGTTGTTTTACCCGATGACCCCATTCGTATCACAGTGACTGGCCACTTGGGAGCGTGAACCGAATCGATATTGATGCACCGATTGCCTGATTAGTATGATAATTTTACCCTAATACAACCGGATTTTACTGTCAATGTGGCTGAAATATCTTTTAATTGGCCGTATTGGTTTTCTAACTCAGTCTTTGTTTACATCGGGAGGAATCTTGAAGTTCCAATCCAGCGAGAGCACGTCAAGTTAAGATGTTGTGAAGGCAATGCTTGGAAGATTGTGAATGTGTTCCGTTGTGCCCCTCGGAATGGAAGCTGTGTTGTGGAATCGGCGGAGGGAGTTTGTCAATTTTGCCACCACTCTGATTGCTGCCCTTGAAATGGTCGCACACGCGAATTTTTCACACTTATATACGACAATATAAATTGAGCTCACGTAGAACAACAACAAAACACCGTTATGTCTCAGTGAACTCATTCAATTGGAAACTAGCGGTATCCAAATGGAAATTGGTGACTGCAACTGAATTAACTGTGTTCACTTTGAACTTCTCTTTTTTTTGAAAAAATAATTTTCACAACCGCCATGGAAAACTGGCCCAGACGAATACATTCTCCATAAAATTCTTTTTTTGTCCGTTTCACGGCAGTTTTGTAACTCAACATTAACAGACGGTCCAGCATTCCTAATTTTCAGCGCCTATTAGACAACAATCTTGCGACACAAATCAGATAGATCACTATCAGGTCATGAATAGGATTCCTGAACTTCTCCAGATAGTGCTTTGAATGTTTAGTTCTATTTGGATTTGGATAGAATTTTGCGTGGACAGATGTCTGCATTTCACTCCCCCTCCCCTCCCCCCCCCCCCCAAAAAAAAAAAAATTACACATCATCTCATAGAAAGAAGGAGTGAAGTATTTAACCTCCAAGGTTGCGGAGAAATTCAGAAGAAACGCACTGTCGGTTTGCAAGGATTCTAGCGAGATAGACGGCGAACTGGGGAAGGGGGGATTTCTGTCGAGGTTAATGCGAGAGGATAATGAACGACATGTAGAACGTGTAGATGAATGAGAGCAGCATTTGGATCGGTTGCCATGTAAAGGATGAGTGGGGTCAGAGAGTGTTTTCGGTGCAAATGTTTCACATGTGGATAAGTATAGTTCACACAACTATTTTCGATAGATCATCAACGGGTATGAAAGACACACGACTGATAATCGCAGATCGGGGCCAAGAATTTGGAAGTCTTTCTTAAGTAGACCCCGGAAACCCACCGGGAAACAATAATCACATTGATAAACAAAAAACAGACGAGAGGCTTTTGTGTGTGTGTGTGTGTGTGTGTTTGGCGTTGAATCGCGCATTCTATCGAACAAAACAACATTAACTGGTGGAAGAAAAAAAACTGACAATAGACAAAACCTACCAAACCATTGGCGTGGACTATGAAATGGTGCATCGGACGAGGCTGACAATTTTAATACACGAACGCTGAATAAGCATCAGAAAACACGTTCTCACCCCAACTCACCCCCTTGTGATAGGCAACATCGTGAAATTCGTGATACATCTTTTTCACTGGTGTACATTTTGAGGTTAATTGAAAAATTTTTTCGTTATTCGCTCTCTTCCAATAGGTAGTAGTGAAGATTAGACTAATTTTCTCAAAACTTATTTTAAACGGAATATGCCTGTATTGGCACGGTAGTCCGGTTCCCTGGTCCGGAGAAAGATTGTTCTCGAACGAAGTGAACACTACAAGGTCACGTGGAAAAATAAACACATCTCTGCTGGTGCTCTCAAACTGTGAATGAATACACATGTTTATTCCCGTTCGCTTGTTGAACGCTTGCATCCCTACGGCTACTGCTGTGGCAACTTTCTCTATAGAACAGTTGAAGTGATCAAAAGCACGAGTTTGACATGATATGATGAAATGCCGGTCAATCATTCGAGTTGTACGGGTTCACAGCTGGCGTCCCGCAGATGTCAGAACCGTGCACTGCCGTGGTATAATCAGCTGTTTCGTTTTTCGTCGTGAATACAAGACTCGATTTCGTTCTAATATAACGCTGACCGGTTGATCGGGAGCACTTCCGCATGAGAATGACATTCTCAACCAGGTGCACAAAATGTTGCCATGAAACCAAGCATAGTACAGGAGATGGTAATGAAAACTCGGCTGCTGTGATTTTTACAGACTCTGTCTCGAACATGATTGCATCTGGCTGTTTGAAATCAGTGGATACAATTTCGTTCCATCCTCCAACTGTTCTCTCTTCTGGTGCTTTTCCAGAAATCGACATCCAATTGATCGAACTCGGGAGACGTTTTCTGGTCATCAAGTTGCACTTTTTTCCACCTCATGCATTTGAACCGAACCAAACTCACAAAGCCCTCCTGGGCCATCATAACTATTTGTCCCTGCCTATTTTGCATAGGTTGTCACCGCGCATAGTATCCCATTTGTGCATCATCGTTTGAAAGAACCAGGCACGAAATGCAACGAATCGGACGATCCTCTGGTGCCCAAAATGGAAGTCGAATGCAAACATACGGATCCGATCACAGGTGCGTCGAGGGACTGTTGTTGTTGTTGTTGTTGTGTCCGATATTTTAGGGTAGAGCACCATATCTCAGGGGGAAAGATAAAACACCAAAGGGAAACGAACATAACAAACAAACAGTAAATAAATATTTGGATAAATCACAACCACAGTTCAAACTTACGAGTTACTTGTCCGATTTCATGCGGAATACGACAATGAATGCGTTTCTACGGTTGATTAAGTGTTTTGGATCCGTGGTATGTTTCAGTTCATTTCATGCAATCGTTACTCTTAGACTGTTGTACGATGCTTTTGGTTGCAAAACATTATATATATGATTATTGTTTTAAAGATATATATGTTCACAAAGTAAATAAAGCAAAAATCTGCTGGGACAGCGGGGATTGCACTAACAAAAGTGCAATTAATTTTTCTTGTTCAAATGGCAGACATTGACTGAGGGTCATTACACTAATCTCGGTTGACAACACTGATCTTTCCATCATGTTTGTTGCGGAGCTTCTCAATCCAATTGCTCCTGAAAACATCGAAACTGTTCACTGCACCGATATTATCCTCAGTGTCCGGGTGCAACCAACTTTCCTGAAGTAAAATGACTGCCACACTTTTGTATTCCTTCTGATGCACCGGATTCTGGACAATTTTGTTTTCTTCCCACGATTGAGCGGATGATACTAGAAAAAAATATAGATAGGATCGTCATTCTGTTGATGTAACCTCATCTCAAGGCAACCCACCAACCAGTCCGATGCTTATTATGGTGACCTTGACTCCTGTTTCCTAGCCGTTGGTAGTGATTCTTTATGGAATGAGCAAAAGCCGAAATTCGGACGTTATACGCAAAAACACAGAAGATTTCATTATGGAGTAACTGTAGGATAGCAGTTGATCTTGATAAGTTCATGTGAAATTGCACAATCGAAAGTATCCACCGCAAAATCGTAACAGTTTATCCAATTTGGCAAAAGCACAGTCGAACTTCAAAGGCCCTTCCCCAGTGTTGTTCAAACACCAACAGTCTATCTTTATCAATTTGTCGTGAATGGCAAGTCCTGCATCATAGAGAAAAACCAGCCCGACAAGTGCGATATACACTCAATCCCTCACGGACAAC